TGAATGTAAAATTTAGCAAGATATAGCAATAGATTAATAATAAATTTACAGTGAGAAGGGTCTAAATTCAAAGAGTAACCAAAAAAACACAATATACAAAAGTTTGGATATAAATATTTTTGAACAAAATTGGAAAAGTCAACCCAGAACACTTTAGGATCAGCACAGTCCCAAAACAAATGATTGATTGTTTCTTCAGACTGAAGGCAAAAGGAGCAATTGTGGGAAATACTATTGTTAAATTGAGCAAGTTTGTAATTTACCGGATAACAATTATGGATAATTTTGATAGAGACTTTAGAAACAACTTTATTAGATAAGAATAATTTTTGTCGAAGAAGCCAAAACTCTTCCCATTCTATATCACTAAATATTTTATTCCAAAAACTCACACAAGCAGGTAAAGAAATCTGAGATCTATTAATAATTGAATGAATGTCTTTGTTTGACATGGTATTGAGAAGACTTTGGTCAACAAATAAGTTAGTGTTATCAAAAAGAGGAGATTTTAACGAACCTTTAGCGACAGATTTTACTAAAGGTATAATACAATTGGGAATTGCACCAAACACAATGGCATATTCTCTTGGGGGGACTGGAAAAGAAAATTCTTGCATAAATTGTAAAAAGGACACCATGATCAGTGTTGGGGGTAACTCATTACAAGTAATGCGAGTTATGTAATCAGATTACTTTTTTCAAGTAACTAGTAAAGTAACGCATTACTTTTTTAATTTACAAGAAAATATCAGAGTTACTTTTTCAAAAAAGTAATGCCAGTTACTTTGTTTTCCCATTTATTGACTGACAGCTCTCCTGTTCCCATTGGGAGATATCGGAAGTACTGAGGAATTGTGTGCGCTGTGTGAACATGATGTTACTGTAGTTCTAGACTAAATGTGAATGTGCATTAATTCATCCCACTCACAAAAAACAGATTTAGTATTCATCAAAATGAATTAAAACAGTGAAATGCAAACTCAGAATATGACGCAAACCTGCAATAATTAAATATGTTAAATAACACAAATGTATCTAATCCCATTTTATTAACCAATGTCTTTGCTGCTGACCTTTGCTAGCGTGAGGTTTATCCACTGGGCCGTTTCTCGCCAATTTGATGCCCTAGGCGAAATCCCTTTTGCCCCCCCCCCAATTATTTATATGTATATATATATATATATATATATAAAATTATTTTCAGACACCAGT